GGAAAAAGGCCCGTTGTGGAAATAAATACAACGGCCTCTAGAAAGAGGCTCTGGGCGGGTGCCCCAGCCTTGGACACTCAGTGTCAATTTGCTGTGGTGACCTCAGCAGGGTATAATGACACTGAGTCCACCATTTTCTCCAGAGGAACTGATCTCTGCTACCTAAAGAACAGTTGTAATTTTGAGTGATCTCCAGCCCTCACCTGGAGATTGGCAATAATGGTTCCCCAGAAGGGAATAGTTGGTTTGGAGGGCGGAGTCTATGGCTTTGTACCTGTCCGAGGTCCCACGCCTCCTGAAACCTCACCCTCTCCAGACTCCATTTATTTATTTATTATTTACATTTTTATCCCGCCCTCCCCGGAGGCTCCATCCCTCACATCTCCAGGAATTTCCCACCTGGAGTTGGCAACCCTATCTCCTTCCCAGCCAATTATCAACCTACCTTTATTTCCCCCTCACTCTTCAGCTTTCCACCCCCCACACACCTGCAGCCTCTCCCGTGCTCTGAAGCCCTGATTGCTACGTCACATTGGCTGTCATACGGGGGCCACCTCAGCAGAATATAAGGATACAGAGCCCACCATTTTCTCCAGGGGAATTGATCTCTGCCATCTGGAAAGCAGTTGTAATTCTGAGTGCTCTCCAGCCCTCACCTGGAGATTGGACACATTTTACCTCAGAACAGAAAACTGTTTAGAATGTTAGAGGCAAAAGCCAATCAAGTCGCATATGCAAATGACCTCTGTGTTCCGAGGCAAAGGCCAATGAGGATGCATATGCAAATAACCTCTGTGTTCTGACTGGCTATGGGGAGGAGGGGAACAGCAAACTGTTTAGAATGTTGGAGCCGGGACTCAGGCAAAGCAGCCAGTGGATAGGGAGACCCTCTGAATGACAGATCAGAGAGCGAACTGATTTTGGAGTGTGTGGAATGTTCTAGAGAAGTGCCACCACCATTTGGCTTTTATTTATAAGGGAGATTGTGTGAACTGGAAGTGATTCCAGATGGCCATTTTTAAAGTATTACTACAGTGTATATCCAACTGTTTAATAAGTAGGTTGTCTCCAGGATCCTGTCTAAGCAAGTAGGTGGATTGAAGGGACTGTATTCCTCTAGCCCATCTACAGTGGCTCCCAGTCTGTTTCCATACACAATTCAAGATATTGGTGTTGACCTTTTAAAACCCTATATGATTTGGGACCAATGTATCTGAAGGACTGCTTACTCCCTTATGAATGCACCTGACCAGTGGTGTCATTTCAAGGCCCTGGTTTGGGTGCCCCTGCCTTCTGAGACTAGGAGAGCGACGACACAGGAGAGGACCTTCTCCGTCATGGAAACAAAACTGGAACTCTCACCCCAGGGAGATTTGCCTGTCCCTTTCTGTTGCTATCCCCCACCAGCGACTGAAGACTTTTTTGTTTCAATTGTTTTTGTATGGATTTTAACTCTGGTTTAAATGATGTATTTTTCTTGGTTATAATGGTTTTTTAGATATAATTTGATTATGTATGTTTTTAATTTGTTAGCCACTTTGGTGGCCCTTTTGAACGAAGAAAGGCAGCATATAAATTTTGTAAAATGAATAAAAATGCCTAATCAAAAATCTTTGAAAGAAAGTAAATGGTCCCCTTATATCTTGGCAAGCCATTACAGATGTCCAGCTTATCAAATGGCTGTGATCTTATTTTGACAGGTCTGTCCTTGAATGTTTTAGTATGAGTGAGGAAATCAGAGGAATGGATTACTCAGTCTACTCCTTTTTCTGTCTCTTTGAAATGTGCCAACCTACTCAGAGTGGCGGGTTTAACTTGAAAGTCAAGTTTCACTATCTTCTGAAGGAAGATGGAGTCTAGTACCTTGCCCAGTACCAGTGGCCAAGTTGTCTTGTTTTCTGTAATGCACAACTTGGAACATGGGCACTGTTCTTGGAAAAGCAGTCTTTTCCTCATTCATATGCAAGGAGGTTGCAGACCACCGTGATGGTTGACCATTCTTCCTTTGAACTATGGGTGTGCTCTGATGTATTGATCCTCTTTTCTTACACACCTGCCAGGAAAAGAGACCTGTCATAATTTTGTTCTAAATCTCATGCAAGTGCAAAATCCCCCCCCCCCAAACAAACCAAAACTTTACTAGCTTGGCCCAGAGTACCACAGTGGCAAATGGGTTAATTCTGTCAAGTAGTGTAGTTTTCATCCTGGCTGGGATTCCTAAAGGCTTAAACTTGTAGGCCTTTTCACATAAAAGTGTTGGACAGAATAATACTGCAGTATCCCACCTGCTTTCTGTTTGCTTTTGGGCATTCCATCAAAAACCACACTGGGAGAGTTTATAGGCAAACATTATAAAAAGTGACGGTCTTTAAGTGTTTCTAGATTTGCATTTGGCCAAACAAAGCCTTACCTGAAATAGCTTTTGATTTTGAAACATTTTTTTAATGTTGTAAGGATTCATGATAGTTTATGCCTTTGCCATGACATCATCCATGACAGGAGATTAATTTGCACAAAGCAATTCATGAGCAGCTTTGATCCTTTGTTTATGCCCTAATCACTAACCATTTCTTTTCTAACTGTGGCTAAACTTGACTTTTGACTTCTCTTGAATCAATGGAAATTTAGGGAAAAAAGCATGTTTATAAGTATCTTGAACATAAGCATATCTTCACATATAAATGCTTCTGGAATAATGGGAGGAGGCGTTGTTAGCTATATTTCTACTCTATCTTCAGATTAGATGGTAGAAACTTTGATGGGATTTTCAGACACCCTGTGCAATGGGTATCTGTTTAAAAGGACATACATAAATTTAGCCTTGTAAAAATAATCAAAGTGTATTTTAAAGACTCCCATAAATTGCTGGCCCCAACTAAGTTCCATAAAACAAATTTACTACACTAGATAGGGTGAGTTGCAGTGGATATGGAAAATAGTGTCAATGATACTATAAAGTAAACCAGTCTTGCTTGTTCCAAAGTGTCAGTGAAGCTAAAATAAATCTCAAACTCTGACATTTTTGCTGTGTTTCTTAGCTTTAACTTTTTATTGATATAAAATATATATGCAGAAAACAGCTCATTTTCCATCTGGAGAATACTTGCTTTCCCTCCTAATTACCCTTTTTTGCTGCAAAATTTAACACCTGTATAACGGGTTGATGGAATTTATAATTACCCCAACATGTTTATTTTTAAAAAGTGTATTAGAGTTCAGAGCAGATTTGCTTGCCAAAGAATTTCTATCTGCATCGCCATCTTGGGTCCTCTCCCGAATTTCTAGCTTTCAAACATTCTGAGGCCCTGTTCTAAAATCTAAACAAGGAAAGTGTTAATATTTGTATAAAATTTGTTTAGACTTCATTCTGAGTACTTACAAATGGCAATTACCGTTTTAGTATGTGAAAATAAAGAATTTGTCTGGATGGTACCAACTGAATGAAAACCTATGAGAGAGGAACATTTTTACTGTGAAAAAATTAAACATTTCTCCTTTGCTGCTCAGACCAGGCCACTATTGCTTGTAGGGTTGGATTTGTCTTTCTTCTCTTCTTCATTCATGTACTTCTTCAGATTCTTTAAGCTCAGTTGTTTTAATTGGTGACCTTCATTATCTTTTATGTGAAGTGTTGATGTGGAAGTCGTCTCCTGCCCAAAGTGGACTAAGTAGAATGAGCTGTGCTTGTGATTTTAGGAAGGTCTGTACACCCTTTAGTATTTACAGCCACCTGAAACAAAGATTTGAACAGGGTTTCCCAAGCTTTTTGAGCTTGCAGGCACCTTTGCAAATCTGGTACAGGCAGAGCCAGCCCCATGGCTGCTTCAGGTGTTGGGAGACTAGGGTTGCCAAGTCCATCTTCCGCCCCCAGCGGGGGACTTTGGGGGCGTTCCTGGAGGGGACGGGACATCACCGACGTGATGACATCACGTTGAGGATGTCCACTGCCCCCTCCGCCCGCGCGCCCGATCTCCAGAAATGCCAGTTTCCTGCACTTAAAGGAGCCAGCGTTTCCCTTTTAAGTACATGGAGCTGGCGTTTCCCCTTTAAGAGCAAAGAGCCAGCGTTTCCCTTTTAAGTGCACGGAGCTGGCATTTCCCTGCAAGCCTCATCTCAAGCGGAGATCGGGCTTGGGAGGAAACGCAGATTCCATGAACTTAAAGACAGCCACCCCTCTCTCTCAAGAGAGAAGGGAGAGGGGTGGCTGTGGGTGTTGGGGGCGGGGCTTCCCTGCCGGCCATCTGGCCAGCATTGGGTAGAACCCCCCCAAAACGGGGGGCCCCTGGCAAACCAGGGGGGTTTGGCAACCCTATGGGAGACCATTGGGTTAGAAGATTATGTGGTACTTTGCCTTTGGGTTTGCAATTTGCCCACACCTACTCCTTCCAAACACATATGCATTAGAAACACTCATCTAAGAAATTTATGTCTTTAATGTTTTCATAATTATTTTTGTATGTAGTCTATACATGCCTTAGAACTGGCAGTGTAACTGGGGTCTGTTCTCCTGCTTTCCTTGTTTCCACTCCGCCATGTGAAATTCTTTAAATCACCAGCAAAGTGTTCTCTTAAAGACTCATTTGTTGTATCTTGAATATTTTTGAGTCAAAAGATTTTACTTTATTCAATCCATTTATAAAGTTATCCAGAGCTCATGCATGTAGCAAACTGCCATGCTGCATGCTTCCCCTGTGTAGCTTAACTACGCTTCCTGGTACTTGTGGATTTGTTATTCAGACCTGCCCTGTGATTTTTGTGCTTTTGCCTTGCGACATGGTCTACTCTGGCAAGGCCAGAATCATCCCAAGGCCAAAATCTGTTTTGTCAAAGTCGCTTCCATTTTCATTTGATAAAGTGGCAACTAGTCTGGAGGATCTGAAAATATATTTTGTAAAATTTACACGATATCTATGGATAAAACAGTCTTCATTGACAGTTGTTGGAAATTTTTTCTCTCTCCCCTTCTTTCTCCTATGTCCACTTTCCCCCCACTTCTGCAGAGCCACCAACCAAATATCAGATCTCTCAGCCTGATGTATATTCTGTACTTCCGGGAGACCCTCTGAACTTGAATTGTCCACTGAAAGATGCCATCAAGATCAGTTGGACTAAAGATGGGGTCCATTTGGCGTCCAACAATCGGACATTTATGACTGGGGAATACTTGCGGATTAAAGATGCCACACCCAAAGATTCAGGTCTTTATGCTTGCACTGCTGTTAGGACTTTAGACAGTGATACCATCTACTTCATTATAAATGTTACAGGTGAGTTTGCTAAAATGGAAATTTTATTGTGTACAAACAGTTGTGATCTAATTCTATCCAAACCTAATGCCATCTCCTATTAAGGTATAAAAAGAATGTGAAAGAGCATTCCTGCCATATAAACATTTATTTAGGCTAGATCATGGCGGAGATTTTGAAAGCATCTGTTCCATTCTCACTCTTCTATATGTACTAAATATAGTGTAAATCTGAGCGCTTACCAGTAGCAGTAACCCATATAGCCCCCCCCCCACATTCCAACATTTCAATGATATGAATTTCAAATGAACATAAGGAAAACCCTGTTGGATCAGACCAGTGGTCCATCTACTCCAGCAGCCTGTTTCACTTAGCGGCCAACCAGTTGTCCTGGAGGGCCAACAAACAAAGCATAGAGGTCCAGGCTATTCTTTGATGTTGCCTCTAGCTCTGGTATTCAGATGTTTGCTGCCTAAGTGTATGGAGAATATACAGAAAATGGTATTGGCATATTTAGAGGTCTGTATGTTGGGAAGTTGGACAGAATGAATATGGATAATTAGATGGCTCAAATAATATCAAGTTTCTCTGAACACATGCATATGTATTTAAGGATAGAACAGCCATCATTTGAACCTAATTTATCCATGACTTGTGATTGGTCCAAGTATATATTTGTACTAAAGTTTCATTTTTCATCTTTTATCCAGCTATCTGGAAAGCTGGATTAAAGATGAAAAATGAAACGTTGGTACATATGCTTTTCCCACAAGTAAGTAAACAATCTTTTCACTTTAGTTTTGGGTGAAATGATAGGGTACACTTAAAAAAAATAGTATTAAAAACTTGATTCTGAAACTTCCATGGCCATGATCCAACAAGGCCATATATGTGTGCAGGAGAGCATCGTGAGCACAGCTGGAGGTTCCGTCGCGGCAGACGCTTCAAAGGTGCTTCCAGCTGTGTATGAGGTTCTTCTCTGCACAAGCATACAGCTTCATTGGATCACTTGTGTATTTTATAAAATATATCAGAGCACTCAGCTATAAAGTGTGTGATGCTTGTGCTCTTAAAAGAAAATCTCTTCCAGATGCCCCTTTTAAAAATCCAGGCCACAGAAGATAGGTCTGTTTGCTTACAATATGTAGCAGGTGAACAATTTTAAATTTTTAAACTTCAGATGTTCTTTCATCTGGAGATGATGAAGATGACACCGATGGCTCTGAGGATTTTGTGAATGACAACAACCAAATCAGTAAGTAACTCCAACTGCTGAAGGTGTCTGGCAAGATCCATATGGAAAGATTTCCTCCCCTAACCTATTGTACTCTCAAGTACTTTATTTTCTTGACTGTTTCAGTGCATGAGCTTTCTACTAGCAGTGACTTTTCACTAGCTTTTTTCTCCATTCTGGTTTTTGCGTATTTCATGCCTTTGAAACATGAAAATAAAACTTTATAACCTTGCCTGCTTGTTTATTCCTTCTATCTTAGTTGAAATTAATTTTTCCAGTATTTCTCCTTTTTAAAAAATAGAAGCTTAATCCACTACTGACACCTTCTCTTCTTTCGTTTCTGGATCTAATTTACATTCTCTTACAATGACAAAATATAAGAGATACTTATGAAATCGAGCAAACTAAACTATTTCTACAGTATCATGAACTCTTCACGGCTGCTTACCGTTTCAATGGTTCTTGTTCTCAATTTCTATATTGTAAAAAAGCAAGAGATATTTTGAGATGTCCTGGAATTCTTCTTCAGTCTAGATACTCAGTTTAAAAGGGGGGGGGCTGAGGAAGAAAAGAAAGATGCTTTGGGATATGGTGGGGAAGCCCATAAATCTGTAGTTGGGCTGTTACACTAATGCTGTAGTATTCTCCTCCTCCTATTCATTCCTCCAATATAGTGTAAGGTGCTGGTTCCAAGCTCAACAGAGAAAGGTCTAGTTCAGTTGCTCAGTAGCTGCCAGAATTGTGTGGTAGCTGTCAAGCATTTGAGCCATGCTGAAGAGGTAAGACTGTGTGAATAAGAATTCTGCTAGATTGCCACCTCTGCAGGCTCTGTTAAGGAATATGAGAGCACCATCTAAAGAGATGTTTGACAGAATGAGAGAATGAGCAGTGACGCAAATTCTCTCGGTCTCCCTGTCTCTCTCTCTCTCTCTCTCTGTGTAGAACCCTTATTTCCAGTAACCTACAGTGTTCAATTATACTAATTACCCTCTGGCCTGAGTGCTTAAAATCTTTCATGTACCCACACTGAATAATAATGAATATTCTAGGAGGGATGAAGATGTTTTCTGATAATGTTAACCTATTTGCAAAGGTGGTTGTCCAAAGTATGATCTTGTGATGGTTGTTTATTCCATTCTGCCCCACACAATGCAAAGCTTTTACTTTTGTGGTCTGTGTGTGGGCTCATTTTACTTACAAATTAGGTCTGCTTTTATATTCATGGGAACTAGGGATGCTCGTAGCTGAAAGAATAAGTTCAGCTACATATGCTGGCTTTTTAAAAAACACATGTTTTGATGACTCTTGTTGTGTTTGCCTATACCAGTGTGTTGCAGTTATAACAGGAAAACCTAGAAGAGGGCTTGTTGTATCTGTTGTATTAAGTCAGAAGTGAGGCAGTTTTACGCGTCCATACATTTATATACAAATGTGCACATGCAAGAAGATCTTTATGCACATGTATGAATAGTTGCAGTTTACACTGATGTTTGTGAGTCATTTCAAACATTATTTTTCAAAATATTTATTGACGTCAACCTTAGAGTGACACACATATATCTCAAGTATATGTGTGTATATAAAATACATGCATTAAATAAACAGACTATTAAAGCACATTACATATATGTAATAGTTCCTGAGAGTGTTTATCTGCAGATAGAGGAGTCCTAACTGTGAGAAAACAATAGGTTAGGCTACTCTCCTGTATGGCCTTTTTATTGCTTCCACCTATTGTTCAAGTGTTTATTTTTACTTTAAGGTGCAAAGGTGACTTGATCTTTGGCCATAAAATGGATTCAGTGGGAGCACATGTTAAATGGTTGTCTACAACCAGGTCTTGACTACCCTCAGTCTGTCAGCTAGAAAATTGATCACAGACACTTCAAGCTTGATCACAATAATATTCACAAAGGTGGATACTGGACAACTTATAGCACTGCCTTCTCCTTTGATCCAGGGGGCCCTGACATGTTTTCAGTGCATATGATGTAAATAAATGCCATTTGCAAGAATGGCATGATCAAATTTTCATTCTGTGATGCATTAATTAACTGACTAAACTCTTTAAATATTAAAAAAATAGGTATACAAAGTTGGCCCAAACTCAGAAAGGAAATAAATACAAGGTATTAATGTTTACTGAATATAGTCCAACAGATGTTGAAAGAGATCAGGTCAGAAAGTCAGGTCTAATGCAGTCGAAATGTCTTCCTTCTTGGACTGGGTGTTGTTGGTTATTGCTATTTTTGCATCTGTTACCCATCACAGACCTAAAGTGGGTTAAAATTAATAAAATAAAACCAATACTATTAAAGCAATAATAAAATGTATATATTTTATTATTATTATTTTATCTAGGGCAATTCTAACTCACTTTTCCCCATACATAAATCCAAAGCAGCTTACAAGGTATAATACACATAAATGACAGATTTCACAGATACACAAAATAAGCCAGTTTCACAGTTTCTAATTATTTAAAATAGTTTTAAAAATAGACATCCAGTCATATTAAATCTTCCAAAAGAGGAAAGTTTTCACAGACATTTTGAAGAAAACCACAAATTGGACTGAGTCATTCTCCTGGAATAGGAAATTCCACAACTGTGACCCCACAGCTGAGTAAATCCTGCATCTTGTTAACCACAAACCCTAAGTGGCCTCAAAAGTTCAAAGAGTGTAAGAGAGATAACAGGTGACACCTGGCCCAAAAGGCACCTTTTATAGCTCCTGAATTCTTGACAGTGGTAATAATTATGTACCTGGAATGTATATGGTGCTTTGGAGTGTTGAAGGAGCTTCACATTATCTCAGAAATCTGTGTAAGAACTTAGTAAAGTAGGCACACACATTGTAAATGGGGGCTAAGGTTGGGAGATAGTGTTTTGCACAAGGCCTCCCGGTAAGCTCACAGGTGAAGGGAAATTTGAAGGGGGAGCTAGCTGAATCACTTTGTAGCTAGTTATGCTGTATTGATCTTCATAACCCTGACAGTTGTGGAGAAAGCCTAGGAACTATGAAGGTTGTTTCCAGATTTGTTGAACCTTATGTTCCTTAAGCCATTTAAGCTTTTTTTTGGAAAGAAAGATAGGACATAAATATTTGAATCAATATATATATTTATTGAAAAAAGGCCAGCAGTTGGTAATCAGATAACAGTAAGCTTGCATGTGCTCATGGGGACAGGCAGTGGTTCAGTGACAGAGCACTTGCTTTCCATGCAGAAGTCTCCAGGTTCAATTCCTGTCACCTCCACTAAAAAGATCTCAGAAAGCGGATGCTGGGTGACACCTTTCTCTGCTCGAGTTCCTGAGCAGCTGGTGCCTGGCAGAGTAGATAATACAGAGCTAGTCTGACTTGGCAGAAGGCAGCTTCATATGTTCAAATGATACTACAGCATCACAGTTATCGAGTCCCTTGTTGTACTCTTAAGAGCACATGTAAATCAGTGTACTCTAACACTAGTCCTGTTCACATGCAAATCGAGTCAACATGGCCAAGAATGTATGGTTTGATCAGAATAAGCTACTTTGCTTAATGGCAGAGTGCAAACGTAGTCACTGGGAGTCGGAGCCCAACAACCTTATATTTGTTGTCATGGACTGAAAAGCTTTTGTTTTAATTTTCTGGATTTTTATGTATCATTACAATTCTGTTCCTAGCAAATAATTTTAAAAGTGCCTTCTAATATAAACCTGTTCTTCTGGGACAATTAAGCCGTGTCTTGGTTGCACAAGTTTAATTTTAAATATTTATAACTTGCCTGGTATCTTGCTTGCAACTACATGTTCAAGTATCCATTAATTTTCCTAGCTTGTTAGTTTTGAAAGGCTTCAGGCTGAAACAAAAATAGTCACGTATCATTTTAAAAATTATTTTAATGCGTGATTTTGGCAGTATTCTTTGGGTGGGGAGGTTTGTTAAAGTTGCCTGTTCTGTCCTCTTCTCCAGCTGTATTTTTATTTTGAGTTACAGGGGGGAAATGGGGTTTAGGAATATCCAGCATATGCTTATTTCAAGGACTGCCATGAATTTGGCCAACGGAAGGGCTTGTTTATTATGGAGCTGTAATAAAGGAAATGAAGCAGAGCTGAGAGAGAAATGGTTATGTTTCTGGACCTCTTTGGTCCTAAAAATGTCCACAGTTAATGTGATTTATTTCAGGAAGAATCTATTGCAAAATAATTAAATGTGGCCATTGCAAAACAGATTTTAGTTCTTAAATTTTAAACAGGCAAGTGAACAAACGTGGATATGCTATTACTGTGCAGTTAATCAAAGGGTTGTTATCTCCAGGAAAGGGCTTGTGTCTAGAAGTAGTTGCCATAATGTTAAATAGACATGGAAATCTCTGTTTAATTATCTATTTGTAATTAGTAGACCGGGACAACGTTGCTCTTTCGTTTTCAGTTTGTTTTCACTTTTCCTTACAATGCACCCTATTTCCTATGACTTATATCTGGTACACCTTTTGAAAGTTCAAATATTCTTTGCAAAGATTGAGTTTTGCAATGTCTGATGTCTTGGCATTCATTAATATTATTCTGGGTACTATATGGTAACTTATGGATTTGATTTCTTGAAGCACAGAAATATTATGATGTCATATATTGTTAAGCAATGTTTATTTTCTGTTTCATATTCCATTAGCTATGTAGGCTCACATTGTATTGTTTACGGATATCATTATCAAGCTATGGATATGGTAGCTGCTGTACAAAAAAGGTCTCAAGATTGAAATTAAACATTTTTAAAAAGTAAAATACACTATTCCTTTTGAAGAATTGTGTACCTCTGAAAGCCCAGACTTCAATATGAGAGTCAGGCACTGTTAAATTTGGTGTAGCCTTAGTTGCAATAGCTGTTGTGTAGCTTCATAATTGGCTTTTCTCTTCCCCACACTACAATGACTGAACTGACCCAGTATCATGGTGGCTAGGCAGACTTTTCATGGCATGTGAAATCAACATGGGCAAAATAAATTACTTTGTGTGTAGGTATAGGATGGCCCAAGGGTTTGAGGTAGAATTGCCAGGTTGTTCTGTTGAGCTGGTGGGGTGATTTGGGGGCACTTCTGGAGTGGGTGGGGATATCATGCGATGTGCTGACATCACCTGGAAGTGATGTCAGCGCATCGGTGACATCAGGGGCAGACACTCTGCCATTTGGGCTAAACGCTATGGTTTGAGGGCAATTTTACCATAGAGTTTTGCTGAAAAAGCAGAGCGTCACCCCCTATATCACCAACTTGCTGATGTCATTATTTGGGTGGGTGGGGTGAATTTCTTCCCACTGGCCAGCTGGTCTGCAACAGGAAGGAGTGCAGAAAGCGAGGAATCCCCCGCCCGGATCTGGGGAATGGTAAACTTAGTTTGAGGGGCCTTAGGCATGCCCTGAACTGCTGACTGCCCAGCTAGACTGGAGTGTATAAAAAAAATAAGCCCTTGGTGGCGTATGTCAAAATACCTAGATAATGGCACTGCAGCCGGGGCCCTGGAGACTACCCACATGTGGTGCCCCTGATGGTCCTCACCTAGTGGGTGGGCTGCCCCATGTAGGAAGTTCAGTATCCTGTACAAAAACCTGTAGCAGGCACATTGACTTGCATGCTTCATAGGGCTGCCAGAGGCCCACTAGGAATAGGGTTCTTCAGTGCTTACAGTTCCTTACAGTTGCTCAAAGGGGGGGGGGCAAAGTTGTACAATGCCAGACATCACTTCTGGCTAGGAAATTGGAAGTGATACGATTTCCAGTCTATGGCAGCACACTGAGCAGACTCACCTCCTGGACCTCCCGGGGGGTGAAAGCTGTGCACCAGCAGAAAGGAGGGGGGGGCGAGGAATCGCTACCTCCCACGGAGCCTGGCTGAAAGGCTCCTAGCCAGGGGACTTTTGAGAGGTTGCCTCTTCGCCAGCGCAATGCTGGGGAATCGAGGCACTTCTCCATCCCGTTGGTCCTCCTGCCGAATGGAAGAAGCAACGCTGACCGGGGCAAGCGCTGGAGATCGAGCGGTTAAAACGGAGGCTAAACGAGGTCGTATGACTGAAGATGAACTGTGAGTCGGATTAAGGCGTATTTGCAATTCAAAAAGAAAGCCCCCTACCCCACGGACTAGAAAGTAAAGCGAGCGGGGGAGGGGGCCCTCCCATGCGCATAAACTTAAAACCAAGACCGGGGGGGGG